TAGCAAGCTTCCTTTCTTTGGGGTAATTAGACCAGATTTGGTTGTTGGTGAATCAGCAATTTTGCCACCAGAGTTTGTAGCTGAAACAAAAGAAAGGGGTCTAATAGCATGTTGGTGCCCACAAGAGCAAGTCCGTCGGAGGTTTTTTGACACACAGCGGCTGGAATTCAACGATTGAGAGTCTTAACTGCAAGTGTGCCTATGCTTTGGCGGAGGCACATTGGGACTAGTGCAGTCCCAGGCCCCCACTCAGTTATAAAAAATGAATGTAGTATGTTGTATAACCTATATTAATTAATATATTACTTTACCACACGGGAACCTGCCCAGCCTAACTTGCCTTTCCTCCAAGCCTACGCCTTCTTTTGCAAACCCATTCCCAAGAGATTTTAATCCTTTTTTCTATTTTATTGGCAGATGCAGGGGACTGATATACATATATATATATACATATTATTTGATACGCACATAATTAAAGTGCACAAGAAGAAGATCCTGAGATCCTATCTTTTGGCTGCCCTCCAGGCTGGCTTCTCTTTTTAATATTTTATTTTCTTAAAACAAAAAACAAACAAAAAACTGAAATAGCGGTGATTGTAATCAATACATGTTATTTAATTTGAGATAAGCTCAGCAGCTACAGAGATGAGTCAGACTCAGTCAACCATGCACGCAAGTTCTACTCAATAATATAAATTGGAGTTTCACTAATATACTCAAAATAGGGACTGAAATTATAAAAAAACTCAACATAAAAAATACTTTATAAACGCACCCAAAACCCATTTATTAAACACACTCAAAACCCATTTATAAACACACCCAAAAAGTATACAATTGTTGATTTTTAGGTTAATTTTGAGTGTGTTTTTATATTTTAAATAGTGTTGAGTTTTTTTATAAATTCATGTCTAGAATTGAATTTATTTATAATTTGTATATAAATTTCCCATAACCTCGAGCACCCCTGAAGAACCTGTCCCCAGCTACCAAGATTTACATTGAGTACCCTCCAAACACCATCACCATAATTATGGGAAATTTATATAGACAAGTAAATCGACCGACGTCTTTCATCATGTAGGGCCAACAAACGAAAAAGAAGATGGGCAAAAACCAGTCACTCGTTGAAAGTTAGCTAGCTCACCAGTCCTATAAATAAATAATCTCTCCATTTGTACGAGTGAGCACAAAAAAGATCTAAAACATGACTTCCACGATAGTAGCTCATAATAAGCCTCATGCTGTCTGTGTTCCAGTCCCAGTTCAGAGCCATATAAAAGCCATGCTCAAGTTGGCAAAACTCCTTCACAACAGAGGTTTCCACATAACCTTTGTCAATACAGAGTTCAACCACAGACGCTTTCTTAAGTCTCAAGGCCCCAACTCTCTTGATGGCTTGCCTGATTTTCGGTTCGAAAACATCCCCGATGGCCTTCCGGACTCAGATGAAGGTGCAACGCAAGATGTCACTTTGCTTGCTGAGGCCGTTGTAAAAGATGGTTTCTTGGCTCCGTTTCGTAACCTCCTCATAAAAACTCATGGACGCAGCAACTTCCAATAATAATCCTCCGTTGACTTGCATTGTTTCCGATGGTTTCATGTCGCCGTTCGCCATCAAAGCTGCCGAAGAATTTGGACTCCCTATTGCACTCTTCTTCACTATTGCTGCATGCAGCTTCATGGGATTTAAACAATTTCGCGCTTTGGTCGAAAAAGGACTTGCACCACTCAAAGGTTAGATTAATTCATATTTACACTTTTCTCATACTTTATTTATCTTATAATTTATTTAACAAATTAAAAATGGGAATAGCATCGTACATTATATATATGATCGATTGTGTAACTGTTTTTTTAAACATACCTCAAATGGATATTTTCCCCCATTTAGCTAATTATTAATTGGTTGTTAATGTAGATGAGAGCTGCTTAACGAATGGATTTTTGGACAAGGTCATAGATTGGATTCCAGGAATGGAAGGTATACGTTTAAGGTATCTCCCATCTTTCTTTCGAACCACAAATCCGGACGATGTCTTGCTTAAATTGAGCATGGTGGTAACAGATGAAGTTCATAAAGCTGCAGCACTTGTACTTCTTACATTTGATGCTTTGGAAAAAGATGTTCTGAGTGCACTCTCATCTATGCCTAATATTCCACCAGTTTATACCATTGGCCCTATCGAATTACTTCTCAATCAGATACCAAAAGACCCTTTGAAGAACTCTGTTGGGTACAGTCTATGGAAAGAAGAAACTGAATGCCTCCAATGGCTGAATTCCAAGGCACCAAACTCAGTTGTTTATGTGAACTTTGGGAGCATAACGGTCATGACACCAAATCAACTTGTTGAGTTTGGTTGGGGACTCGCAAATAGCAAGCTTCCTTTCTTCTGGGTAATTAGGCCAGATTTGGTTGTTGGTGAATCAGCAATTTTGCCACCAGAGTTTGTAGCTGAAACAAAAGAAAGAGGTCTACTAGCAAGTTGGTGCCCACAAGAGCAAGTCCTTAACCACGCATCAGTCGGAGGGTTTTTGACGCACAGTGGCTGGAATTCAACCCTTGAGAGTCTAACTGCAGGTGTGCCTATGCTTTGCTGGCCATTTTTTGCTGACCAACAAACTGACTGTTACTATACTTGCAATGAATGGGGCATTGGCCTGGAGATTGATAATGATGTCAAGAGAGATGAAGTAGAGAAGCTTATTAAAGAGTTAATGGAGGGAGAGAAGGGTAAGAAAATGAAAATAAGGCCATGGAGTGGAAGAAACTTGCAGAAGAGGCAACTGGTCCTCATGGTTCTTCATCCACAGGCTTTGACAATCTAGTCAATCAAGTTCTGTTAAGGAAAAGTTAGATGTCATCCATATAAGAGCACCTATTGGTGAGGCAATAGCTTACCAAGGTGATAGAAACATGTACTCTCTAGCACAAGTTTATTTTAACTCTCTAATAAAAATCACAATAATGACGTTTAGTGTCGGAACAAATGATAGTTACAAATTAAATTAAAAGTGATGTTAAAGACAGTCGCTTACGTGAGCAGTTGCATCACATCTTTTTAACATTTAGTAATTGGTACATACTGATATGAGATGTGCGGTCGTCTATTCACCCCTTTAAATATTGGTTGTATATGGTTGGCAGTAGTTAAACACATTAACATTATGGCCAAAATGATGATATATGGGCGCCGATTAATTCTCTTTTGTTCATTTATACTTTTTTGAATTTCTTTTAATATTTTATGAAAGCATACAATTTCCAATAAGGGAGTGTAAATGAACAAAAGATGAGTACGAATATACAATTTTCAATAAAAGAAGTGTAAGTGGACAAAAAATAAGTGGAAAAATTGTGAATGACATCTAACATGTTGGTATAAATAGAAGATTCCCTTTAATAAATATTATCTAGATTGTGCTAGACAACAAGGAAGGCAAATAGTCATCATACTCGGGATGAAGATAAGATCCTATTTATTAAAGAGAAATAATGTTACAAGGGACCGCGTTTTTTTTTTAGCACGCGATGTGAATCTAATAAAAAAAATCACAAGGAAGAAAAGTGCATGAGTAAATACTCTAAATCATCTGAGTTAGAACAACTCCTATTTTTTACTAATTCACTATAAACTTAGCCCACTATATAATGCAAGAAAAAAAGAAAAAAAAAAAAAAATGAGCATTCCCATCAATTTTAGCCCAATATTTTTTCCCAATTATTTTTAATCCACTTTTTTTTAATAATACATCGATAGTCCATACTCCCACTACTCCCAAAAAAAAAAACAAAAAAAAAAAAAAAAAAAAAAAAAAAAAAAAAAGAGGGGAATCAGGGGTGGGTTTTTTTTTCATCACAAATATATATTATTATATTTCATGATGATTCGAATTCGAACCTTAAACTATTGGTTTGCAAATCAAGACACTTTTTCCCATTAGGAATATATTTTTATGCTCTCATATTAACAAAATCCTCATCCACCACCACAAATCTACCCTCTATTTTTCTATCTTTGATGCATCCATCGGTCTACACACTCCATTTAGTTGTTTGACTGGTAAGATTTTCTTCTTCCTTTTTTCTTTTTTAATTTTAAACATTTTCTTATCTTGGCGGTTTGCAAGACTAGTAATCGATACTTGTCAGTACTTTATAATTTGACTACCCATACCTGAATATGCGTACTCCGCAAGTGTAAAGGGAAAATTCAAGCGAATAATAAAAATAATAATGCAACATGTATTCAATTTGATCTTGGCCGCTCCACCACTTTAAGAGAGACTACATAAGCAACAAACACATACACACACATAATCTGCATTTGATCTTCATTAGTGCAAACACAACACAAACATAAACATATAATCTAAGCCAGATGGGTTCCAAGGCAGCAGCTAACAAATCTCATGTTGTTTGTGTTCCAGCTCCAGCTCAGAGCCATATCAAGGCAAACCTCAAATTTGCAAAGCTCCTCCACCATAGAGGTGTTCATGTAACCTTTGTCAACACAGAGTTCAACCACAACCGCTTTCTTAAATCTCTTGGACCCAACTCCCTTGACGGGTTGCCCCATTTTCGATTCGAAACTATTCCTGATGGCCTTCCAGCTGGTTCAGATCAAGATGCAACCCAAGATGTCTCTTTGGTTTCTGATTCCATCAACAACAAACTCTTGGCCCCGTTTCGAGACCTCCTTATGAAACTCAATGACAGATCAACTTCCAACTGTGATATCAATCCTCCGGTGACTTGCATTGTTTCAGATGGTTTCATGCCATTCACAACCACAGCTGCAGAAGAAATTGGAGTTCCCATAGTGCTTTTGTTTACAATTGCTGCATGCAGCTTTATGGGCTATAAGCAATACCCTGCTTTGGTGGAAAAAGGTCTTGCGCCACTCAAAGGTGAAAGAAATGTTTTTTAAGAAATTATTTGTATGATATTATTGATTAACAAATGTTAAATCTTACTTTGGGCGTTAATTATGTAGATGAGAGCTGTTTGACAAATGGCTTCTTGGACAAGGTAATAGATTGGATTCCAGGAATGAAAGGTATTCGTTTGAGGGATCTGCCGGCAAATTTTCGAACTACAGATCCCAATGACTTCGTGTTTAACTTGTCCTTGGAATCAATTGAAAGAGTTCATAAAGCTTCAGCAGTTGTGCTTCATACTTTTGACGCATTGGAGCCAGATGTTTTGAATGCTTTGTCATCTATGCTTCCACTTGTTTATGCCATTGGGCCTGACCAATTACTTCTCAATCAATTACCAGAAGACCCTTTGAAGCATATTAGATACAGTTTATGGAAAGAAGAAACTGAATGCCTTGAATGGCTAAAATCCAAGGCACCAAATTCAGTTGTGTATGTGAATTTCGGCAGCATAGCAGTACTGACACCACAACAACTTGTTGAGTTTGGATGGGGACTTGCAAATAGTAAGCTTCCTTTCTTTTGGGTGATTAGGCCTGATTTGGTTGTTGGTGAATCAGCAATTTTGCCACCTGAGTTTGTAGCTGAAACAAAGGAAAGAGGTCTAATAGCAAGTTGGTGCCCACAAGAGCAAGTCCTTAACGACCCATCCGTCGGAGGTTTTTTGACACACGGCGGTTGGAATTCAATCATTGAGAGTTTGTGCGCAGGAGTGCCTATGCTTTGTTGGCCATTCTTTGCAGACCAACAAACAAACTGTTACTATGTTTGCAATGATTGGGGAATTGGGTTGGAGATCAACAATGATGTCAAGAGAGACCAAGTAGAGAAGCTTGTTAAAGAATTAATGGAGGGAGAGAAGGGTAAGAAAATGAAAAATAAGGTCATGGAGTGGAAGAAAATAGCAGAAGAAGCCACCAGTCCACATGGTTCTTCATCCACAAACTTAGACAATTTAGTGAATCAAGTGCTCTTAAGAAAAACCTAGACTATTTTCATTAAAGTTTTAATCCTGCGTATCATTAGGCCTCTCTTCTCTCTCTAGGAACCTACAGCAGCCGCCGCCCCTTTTTGGGGTCGGTGGCTGGCTCCCCCTTCTCCTCTCCTATTGTCCCCTCATCCCCTCCCCTACTCCTTCCCCAGCTCTTCCTCTTTCCTCTCCTCTTTTCTTCTCCCCATCTTTCTCCCCTCTCCTCCCTCGCTTGTACCCGCCCCCTCTGCTTATCAGCTTCCCTTCCTCCCTTCCTCCCTTCCTCCTTGCCCCTCCTTTCCTTTTGCTCCTTCCCTCCCTCGCAGTTTTAGGCTGGGATTGTGTGACTGGCTCGTTTGGTTTTTCGCTGTTCTTTGTTGCAGATCTAGAGTTGTCAATTTTCGAGTTGCTTTGGGACCACTTTGCTGCCTCTGTTGGTCAACCTTTGCAGATCTTGGTCAACTTTGGTTGCTGCTTTTGTTTTCGTGTTTTTTGTTGCAGTTTCGGTGTTGATTTTAGTGCTTGATGCAGTGTTTTGTTTGTATTTTATTTTATTTCATTTGTGAGAGTTAAAAGTTGTAATTGCGCTTGTAGTTTGGGAGTCTAGGCGGTTTGGCTGTAGGGCGGGTTGTGTTCTATGCCTGATACACTGTTGATGCCGGTGTATTTCCCCTTTTGGTAGGTTACTCTGCTTCAACATTTGTATTAATCTTATGTGGGTACATGTTTTTGCACTGGCCTTTAAAACTTACAATCTTTGTGATAGATTTGTAAATGCAACGTATCGCTTCCTCTCAAAAAGAAAAACCTAGATTTTGTTATTCTGTGTACGCCTTTCCCTTGTTGGTTCTTTAGCAAGATCGAATCTCGTATATGTAATGTAGTTGGAAGATTTAATACATCTCACTTTAAATAATACTTGGATCTAATAGACCTCGTGTAAAAGTGAGTCTATCAATACGTGCCAAAAAAGAAAAAAGAAAAAAAAACCATATAACAATGCATGGCACATGTTCATACTTACTTTTTATGTTATCTCCATCAATGCGATTCCACATACTCAAAACAAAAACCATTGAAAAAGAAAAGGCATGCCACCTCAAGCTGTATTATAATTCCAGAAAATGAGGAAGAAGATTACAGTTGGACATTTGTTCCAAAAACCAACAATATATAGGCACCAAGTAACATCTGCATATTAACTCACAAGATCAGAGATAGGGATGGTTTCTATGGAGGTAACTGACCAGAAGCCTCATGCTTTATGTATCCCATTCCCATATCAAGGCCACATAATGCCACTCCTCAAGTTCGCAAAGCTCCCACACCATAGAGGTTTCCGAATCACCTTTGTCAATACCAAATACAACCACAAACGCTTTCATAAATCTCTAGGCCATGACACCCTTGACGGCTTGACAGACTCATTTTGAAACCATCCCAGATGGTCTCCCTCCTTCAGATTCAGATTCAACCCAGGACATCTATGTTATGTCTGACTCCTTTAATCATAATTTCTTGGCTCCATTTCGTGCCCTCCTCGCAAAGCTCAATGATGCTGCAACTTCCAACAATACCCCTCCTGTGACCAGCATTGTCTCAGATGGTTTCATGAGCTTCTCAATCACAGCTGCTGAAGAACTTGGACTTCCTTTTGTGTTGTTCTTTCCTACTGCTTCTTGTGGCTTCATGGGCTTCAAGCATTACCGCGCTCTTGTGGAAAAAAGATTTACACCACTAAAAGGTAAAGGGAGGAGCCAGGAATTAATTAGTAATGTTATGTTTTTTATTAACTAGTAACATTCTGTGTTTTTAGCTTAACTATAGTAACATTAATCTGTTTTCAATGTTGCAGATGAGAGTTATGTATCAAATGGCTTCTTAGACACTGTCATAGATTGGACACCGTACCGGGAATGAAAGATATGTGACATCCCGGGATCGGCTCTCCCGTAGCACGATATTGTCCGCTTTGGGCCTCCCTTTCTGTCCTCTCGGTCTTGTTTCTGGGAACTCACGAACAACTTCCCAGTGGGTCACCCATCCTGGGATTGCTCTAGCCCAAACTTGCTTAACTTCGGAGTTCCCATGACTCCGAAGCGAGTGATCTCTCAAAAGGCTTTATGCTAGATGGAGGCGGGCATGTACATATAAGGCACATCACACCCTCTATGTTGGTCGATGTGAGATGTTACAAAGTTCCCATGACTCCGAAGCCAGTGAGCTCCCAAAAGGCCTCTTGCTAGATGGAGGTGGGCATGTACATATAAGGCACATCACCCCCCTCTCCGTTGGTCAATGTGGGATGTTACAGAATATTCGCCTAAGGGATCTTCCAACATTTCTTCGAACTACAAATCCAAAAGACAGTGTCTTTATCTTAACAGGGGAAGCAACTGAAAGAGCACATAAAGCCTCTACAGTTGTTATTCATACTTTTGATGCATTGGAGCAAGAGATTTTGAATGCTCTCTCATCTATGCTTCCACATCTCTATGCCATTGGCCCTTTCCAATTACTTGTCAATCAGATACCAGAAGACCCTTTGAAGCCAATGGGATAAAGCCTATGGAAAGAAGAAACTGAGTGCCTTCCCTAGCTAGACTCAAAGGCACCAAACTTAGTTGTTTATGTGAACTTTGGCAGCGTGGGTGGTCATGACACATAACTGTTGGTCCATTTTCCTACCAACACTCTTTTTGTGGTTTGCTCTTAGATGAAGCTGCTATGTAGAGTGAGGAGGTCGTTGGATCAACACCAATGCCTCGATTGGATTTCTAGCTCACAAAGAGGATTCTTTCAACTTCTGAACAAAATTGAAAGTTGGATCAAGTTGACAAGAACGAGCGAGCTCGGGTTGGGCCCTATCGGCTTGTTCCTCTTGACCTGATTGTGAATTGAGTAAGTGTGCCACTATTGTGTATGAAACCAGCACAATAGATCTGGTATAGGTGGTGCAGGATGTTGATTTGTTATATTTGCGCTTATTTTGGACTTTTACTCAACCCCTTGTGCTCCAACGGGGGTACTGGCCTGGATGAGTTCTTTTCTATGCCTCAATCAAGAGGACTTCAATATTCTTTCATTTGTGCGTGTCGGTTTGATAGATACTAGCAATACCTAATCAAATAAGAAGGAAACCAGAATCGTGGTTAATGGTACCCTATTTGGGTTTAGAAACCTAATTTAAATCCAATCAACCCCTAAATTGGGTCAAGATTTTAGTCAATTTGGGCCCAATGATATAGTTCAAGCTTGAATTAACCTTTACTTTGGGACTAACAAGGCCCTATTTGGGCCTAGACTTTTGCTTTAGGTCCGAATGATAAATTTAAACAATATAAAGGCAGGAAATTAAACTAGTCTATAAAGATATTTGAAATATGTAAAAGCAGTTAAATATGAGATACTTAATGAAAAACTCCAAGATTTCTTTATCCGATTTTAACTTGATAACAAAGAAGAACAAGAGTTATAATCCATTTAACTAATTCAAAATATCGATTACAATGTAAGGAAAATTGGGGATTTCTCTATCCAGTTAGAGGGATACATGAATTCAAACTGATCGTTTAAAAGAAATCATACTATGTAGATGACAGAGTAATAAAATATGAACGCAGGAGTTGTCAACTAGTTGTAAGGGAGTTTTAAAGGTCACTACACCAGAGGGCATGCGTTTGATCAAGTGAACTGCGGTGACAATAGCATCATTCCAGTGACGGCGAAGAACATGAGCACCAATCAGAAGTGCTCGAGTAGTTTCAAGAAGATGTCAATTCTTTCGTTCAACAATACTATTTTGTTGCGGTATCCAAGGACAAGTCGTCTCATGGATAATTCCATGTTGTTGGAAGTAAGCTTGAAAGTCATGATTGCAAATTCTCCACCATTGTCTGAGCGAAGAATCTGGATTTGAGCATTGAACTGAGTTTTCATCTATTTGTGGAAGGACTAAAAACTGAAAATGGTATACTAGTGATTTGCCCCCTGAACTTGTACCTAATTTTCGATTGACCCCTTATCCTTTTTTTTATTTTATAGAAAATTAAGGATATGAACTTTTTTTTTCCTCCAATTTCCCCCTACCATATAAATTCTCAACATTTCATCCAATTTTCAGTTAAATCATTTTAAAAAGAAATTTTTTTGAAAAAATTGAAGAAAAAGAGTAAACCTAATGCCAACCCTTTCCATCTCCTCCCTTCCTCCTCCCATTCCCCCATGACCACCATCATTTATTCCCAAACCAATCCCCCACCCTGTACACCCTTCAACCCATAAACCCCTCCCTCCTCCTCTCCCTTTCTGTTCTTTCATCCACAGACTCATCACCACCATCCCCCAACAGACATTCCTCCATTTCTGCCGTCGTCGCCTCCTTTCTCTCTCTCCCCTCCCCTTCGCTCCCCTCCCCAAGCACTCCCTCAATTTCTTTTCTCCCCCACCCCCTCCGTCAATTTCAATACCCTCCACACTTGAAAAGCTCACAGTCGATCTAAGCCTTTCAATGCCTCCCGTCTCAAGCTTTTTCCAAATTCACACAAAACCCATCAACCGAAACATCAAAAAATTCAATCATAACACTTGGATTTGCAAAAAAGATCAAAGTCAAATAAAATCTAATAGAATTTACCTCCATTCCATCGGATAGCATTTGGGGTGGGAGGTTGTGGGGAAGAAGAAAAAATAGAGGGGAGGGTTGGGGTGGGGTGGAAGGGCCATTGGAAGTCATATGGAGAGAGGGAGAGTAGAGGGGCCAGAGAAAATAGATGGAGAGGATGGGGGTGTGGGAGAAAGTGATTGGTTAGATGGGCCTCTCTCTTATTAAAATATTTTTTCTTTCATTTTAGATTTCATATTATTGTATTTGTGTATTTAATTATTTTAACATATAAAATGACCATTTTGCCCTCATATTTAACGGCAAATTAGATGAAATGTTGCAGATTTAGACGGCAGAGGGGAAATTGGCGAAAAAAAGAAGTTCATATCCTTAATTTTCTATAATAATAATA